AACTTCCTCAACCTGATTAAGTCCATCTATAAAAAATTCATAGCTGATACCATAGTTAATGGTGAACAATTGGATGCTTTCCAAGATAGGAACAGGACAATAACAAGACAAGTATGTTCACTCCAGCACTTCTATTCAACATTGTAGAGGTTCAAGCCAGAGCAGTGAGGCAAGAGAAAGAAATAGAAGCCATCCAGATTGGAAAGAGGAAGTAAAATTATTCACAGACGATATAATCTAGTGTAGGAAACCTTAAGGAATACACACACTATTAGAACTAATAAATGAGTTCATCAAAGTTGCAAAATACAAGATCAATGTACAAAAATCATGTGTTTCTATACACTAGCAATGAACTATCCAAAAATAAAAACATTTCATTTATAATACTATCAAAAAAAGAAGGAAATGCTTAGGAATAAATTTAACAAGAAAAGTGTAAGATTGTACATTGACAACTACAAAACTTCATTAAAAGAAATTAAAGACGATCTAATAAAGGGGAGGACAGCCTGTGTTCATGGATTGGAAGGCTTCCTCAAATTGATCAATAGTTTAAACACATCCTAATCAAATTCACAGCTGCCCTTTTTGCAGAAATTGACAAGCTGATCCTAAAATTCATGTGGCATTGCAAGGGACCAGAATAGCCAAAACAGCCTTAAAAAAGAAGAAGAAAGTTGGAAGGCTCACATTCCCAATTTTAAAACTCACTACAAAGCTATAGTAATGAAGACAGTGTGGACTAACATGAATAGATATATAGATCAATGGAATAGAATTAAGAATCTAGAAAGATTCTAAAAGCTAAAGAGCTAAAACTCAAACTCTTAGAAGAAAACAAATGTAAGTCTTTGTGACATTGGATTAGGCAATGATTTCTCGATAAGATACCCGAAGCACAAGCAACAAAAGAAAAAAATAGGTATATTCCACTTCATCAAAATTTAAAACTTTTGTACTTCGAAAGAGACCATCAAAAAAGTGAAAAATCAACTGACAGTACAGAAGAAAATATTTTTAAATTTTATATCTGATAATGGATTTGTATCTAGAATATGTAAAGTACTTAGAACCGAACAGTAAAAAGACAAATAACTTAATTGAAAAATGGGCAAAGGATCTGAATGGGCATTCCTTCAAAGAAGATACACAAATGGTGTATAAGCACATGAAAACTTGCTCAATATCATTAGTCATTAGAGAAATGCAAATCAAAACCACGATGAGATACCATACCATTTCACACCCTCCCTCTAGGATGGCTATAATCAGAAGCTGGACAGTAACAAGTATTGATGAGGACATGGAGAAATTGGAACCCTTGTATATTGCTTGTGGGGATGTAAAAAGGTGCGGACAGTTTGGAAAATAGTATGGCAGTTCCTCAGAAGGTTAAACATAGCATATGACTTAGCAATCCACTCCTAGGTGTATAATAAGAGAAATAAAAACACACTGCCACAAAAACTTGTACATGAATGTTCATATAGCATTATTCATAAAAGCCCAAAGATAGAAACAACCCAGATGTTCATTAACTGATGAATAGATAACAAAATGGGGAATATTTGTACTATGAATATTTTTCAGTAATAAAAAGGAAGTACTGATTGATACATGCTACAGTATGAGTGAACCTTGAACATTATGCTTGAACATTAAGTAAAAGAAGCTAGACACAAAAGTGTATAATTCCTTTCGTATGAAAAGTCCAGAATAGACAAATTTGTAGAGACAGAAAGTAGACTAGTGGTTGCCAGGGACCGGGAAGCGGGGGGGACTGGGAAGTGGGGGAACGAGAAATGACTGCTAATGAGTATGGGGTTTCTTTTGAGGGTGATGAAAATGTTCTGGAATTAGATAGTGGTGATGGGTGCACAACTCTGTGAATGTACTAAAAAAACCACTGAATTGTACATTTTAAAAGAGTGAATTTGGTGATATGTGAGTTATAGTTCAATAAAGCTGTTATTAAACAAATTTATAAAAGAAAGAGAGGAAAAGGAGTTATCTACTGTGGAAGCAGGGATTGGACACTGGGCCGGGGATGCAAAGGAGCCCCAAGGGCAGCTCTTGGGGAAGGGCCCTAGCTAACATTCTAGACCCTGCATTAGAGTCCAGCCTGTGTCACTGACTTACTATGAACTTTTTGACAGAGCTCTGGGCCTCTGCCTGCCTAACTGAATAGTGTAGTAACAAAACTGGAGACATTCTCAATGCCCATCAGTAGGGGATGTGTATAAAATACAATAATGTGCAGCTTTTTAAAAGAATAAGGTAGATGTATAATAATTGCCAATATTTATGTAGGGTCAGATGCTATCAAGCACTTTAATACTTTTTTAAAAATTTTTTAAAAATAAATTTTTTTATTTAAATTAGTTTCAAGTATACAGCACATTGGTTAGACATCTATATTGTTCAAAAAATGATTCCTTCAATTGCTCCCTCCCTCCCCTTGCCCTCCACTTAGCCATCATATTAATGCTAACTGCATTCCCTGTGCCATGCTCCCCATCCTTGTGCTCAACTATCAACTACTAATTTGTACTTCTTTAATCCTTCACCTCATTCTCCCAACCCCGCAACCCCCCTCCCCAGTGGCCGTCACCAAATTGTCCACTGTATTTGTGAATCTGGTTTTGATTAGTTTGTTCTTTTTGTTCTTTAGATTCTGCATATAAGTGAAATTATATTGTATTTCTCTTTCTCTGTCTGACTTATTTCATTCAGCATAATAACCTCTAGGTCCATCCATGTCATTGCAAATGGGAGGATTTCATTTTTTTTAATGGCTGAGTAATATTCCATTGTATATATGAACCATAATTTCTTTATCCAGTCATCAGTTAATGGGCATTTATTTGCTTCCATATCTTGGCTATTGTTAATTGTGCTGCTATGAAAATTAGAGTGCATAGATTTTTACGAATTATTGTTTTGGTTTTCTTTGGATAAATATCCAGAAGTGCAATTATTGGGTCAAAAGGTATATCCATTTCTAATTTTTTGAGAAACCTTCATACTGTTTTCCATAACGGCTGTACCAATTCGTAATACCA